GTCCACAACCGAGCAGCTTGAGGGTTTCAGGTGGGTGGACTGCCGAAGAAAAGAAGAGGCTATATGCCGAAGAGGCCCGACCGAAATTGTGTCATTGAAAAGGGCAACTACTAATGGCTCTGCATCTTCGGATGGGGAGTCATTCTGTTACTACTTTGTCACTGTACTCGCCTGTAGTTGTAGTCGTAGTAGTTTGTATTGTGGTCGATAGATCGGCCCAACCACCAGCAATATTGGGTAAATCGTGGTATGAATTAGTGTTGCGGATGAGACGAGATCACGGTTTGCATGGAATTGTAAATTTTCAATACAGATCATCGTAGTTGCTTAGAGAATAATGTTGCGAAAAATCAGACTGTGTTTCCTTTAAGATTGTTTTTATATTTCAAAATAGTGTTGCGATAATGACTGAGCGCGATTGAAGTTATTATTTTTTTAATTAGTATTGCGATATAGATTGGTCGCGTCTGGCTTAGTCGTGCGATCTATCGGATGCCTAAAACCATTCCGGCACCATCGGAACCACAAAGCAATTGTGTTCCGTATTATGAGACCAAGGTGCACGGGAGTTTCTTCATTACATATTTAGTAACATAGTGTAGCGAACAACAAGCACCTCCCGCGTTTGTCAACATTCTCCCGACAATTTATTAATCTTAAACGATTAATGTTGCCCACCTTAAGAGTGGTACTTTTTTTTAGTGAATTTTCTGTTTCAGGAATCGTCATGGGATTGTAATTCTCATTTATCAAAGTAAAATATGTATAAAACCGTATTATTGTACCCTTTTATACTTATTATATGTTAACACTTTTTTTTTAGTATCCGTCTCACGAATCATAATATGATCTAGTTACGCTTCGTTCATTTAAACTTAGGTCCAATATTTTCATCGTGAAATAAGTACTAATATAAAATGTAAATAGTAGAGATTCCGATTTGAATCTGTAATATCAGTTTCAAAGTTTGAATGAATTTTAACAGAATCATTACTTTTATATTGTTATGTAATTGTTATTAGCCTAAAGAATATAAACTAACATAAAAAAGGTTGACACTAAGATAGGTACTTGTATTTCACATAATTACTAAATTTACACCTGCCTGCAGTAATTCGCGCGATTAAGTACCACAATACTATACTGGCACCAGTTTGCCGCAGCAAACGACAAACTTAAAAGTATCTTTACAATAAAATTTTATCATTACGTTGTAAAGTCACATATCATATATTTAGTCTACACCTAAAAATATATTATGGTGTAACATTTTAAATAACTTTCCACAAAAATTAGACACGTATCTTGTTTGAAAATCTATAGTGTAACAAAACAAAATATGTACATCTTGAATAGTAGGAGTTTCCAAATATTAATTCACATATGTTTATACGTATAAATTTTTCTACAGTCGCTTGCACTTACAGAATAATTTTTCTTATGAAACTATTTCTTACATACATTTAAACAATTGACGAGAAGAAGAAATGAAGCAAAGCTAAATTCGTTTTAGACGTTAATATTATTGCTCAATTAATTCAGTTTTGTCTATGATCTTTTTCTTGAAAAAAAGTCAATTCTATGATTCTAACCTGAATCCTATTCAGACGTATACCCTGGCTCAACGACCTGAGTCACCCTGTATAATTATTCGACGAGACTTTCGTTCGAAATTCACATTGTCGTGAATCAAATGGCAGTGAAACACTTCCAACGTATTCGTGAATCGGTAAAATACACAAGGTTGTGTTTTTTTTAAGGAAAAGACACGTTCAGTGTTGATCCTATCGAGAAGCTACAAAAATATTCATCCGCGTTCCGTCTTACGTTCTCTACCCGTAAAATTCTGTCGACGTCATAGACGAAACTTTTCTACACGATCAGATTCTTTTCCTCCGAATGATACTCCGAGCGTCCAACAACGAACGGCCAGTTCCTCTTTGAAATTCTCTCGAGTTCACCTCGTAAGAGATTCACGAGATCATCGAGATATCGCAGCTCGTGAATGTCCTGGCGCAGTTTACTGGTACTGGACGAAATATCCTCCGTTTTCCGTTCGTCACACTGAAAGAAAAAATATCAAACATATTTATCGTCGTACAATCGTCTGTTTTGATTGAATATTAAAGTCAAATTTCAAATGATAAAATATTAATAAGTACTTGGCACATGCAAAATTAGATTTTTTAATATACAGTAGTGTTTCGATGAATGCGACGTACTCGGGTCTACTTCAGAGCATTCGTGGCAAGGCGGAAAGGTTTTCAGCCTCCCATAAATTTGTGTTTTGCCCGAAGCCGAGCCTCTACTTAGCTTCTGTTTACTCTGTTTTGATTGGTTCCACAGGGGGACTCCCTTAGTGGTGGGAATAACGTCGTTGCTCGCGACGCATTCATCGAGGAATTACTGTATGTACCTTTTCATAACATACACATTTTAATTTGAATAATTAGAAGAATGTAATTCATTAAATTAGAAAGAAAAAATACAGATTTTACCAGTCAATGGACAATATTAACCAGAATTTTTTCTTTTATTTAGTCCAAGTTCAAATACATCAAAAAGTGCGTAAAACTTAATATTTCAATTACATAATGGATTTTCCAATGAAAAAAGAAGTGAACGTGATTTAGGAACGTATATATGCGCTAAATGATTATAGCACAAAATACAATTCTCTCTTGATACTACCAGTGTCAATTGTCTCTGCTTAGGTTATTTTCCTTTAATTTATCTTCCTTCTGGCAAACGAGTAACCGTTTTAATAATAAAATCGTAGGACACAGGGTTAATGTATAGAATGCAAAGTGTTCTTACCTGAAAGCTTTGTCGTAGATTACAAATATCCCTGTAAATATCTTTGCTACTAGCCTGAAGCTTCTCCACTTTCCTTTGAAGGTTTCGAACCGCGCTTTCGGCAGTTTCGACGACATCAGGATCTTTCGAATCGGTTTCTATCGTCAGGGCCAGCCTGGTTAATTGATCGTGGGAGGAGGTGCTGTCGCAGAAACGATCCTCCTCGAGAAGGATCGCTGCTTTTTCAGGATCCGTGTCGAGGACTTCAAGGATTGATACCACTTCATTGATAGCGGTACACCGTTCCTGCAAAATATATTCACATTTTATCTGAATTATTGAACACTGTAGCAATGTGTTCCAGTTAATTCTAGATTTGACTAATTGAGATGGCATAAATAAACTTTAACACAATTTCCATTGAAACAAACGTATTACAGTACCGAAATGAAATTCAGTTTTACGAATGACAGAATTTCTGTCATCGTATGTATAGACTTAAAATTGTTCCTTGAACAAAACTTGTTAAATATTAATGTAAATATTTTTAATTGTCGAATCATATATTGGTACGATTTATTCATAATTTAGCAGTTAATACAAATATACGGAGTTTTAAACGAGGTTTCGATGCCAGGTTTATAGAAATACGCCTATATGTATTACAGCTAAGAAAATAGTGTTAATTGACAAACGTGCATTTTAAATTCTTGTTTTGAGGTATAGCTGTTTAAGCGTATACGAAAGATCAGACAGCTGGAAGATTAGAATAAATGCCACAGAGTAGTATAAATAGGCTTATCTGGTGTTCCAGACTTAACTTATCAACAATTACACAAGTGCATAGATAATGTGTGGAATGTAATTAGATACATGTCGGAAGTGTACAATACTATTAATACTACTATCATTATAGTATATGCATATTAATGTTTCTTATGACTCAAAGTAACTATATGTTTGCAACGATACGTCAGGAGTCTATAATAATTAAAGTTTATTCTTTTAATAAATGGTACACCTACTAAATTGTATTAAGAGTTGCAGAATATCAAGTACACACTAAAACAATAAAGTCTAATATTCAAAACAAGTCCAATATTTCACATATTTTTTGCTTCAATCCACATGTATTATTTGAGATTCAGAACCAAAGATAATATACTATATTTTGTGTTAATTATTTTGTGTTAAATATAAAGTTATCTTCTGTATATTCTTCGTTATTGTTAAATTCAAATAACATTTAGATTTTAGAATGTTTATTATAACCGGTCGTTAATATTTATTCACTAAATTTTCGTGATCTACGATGATAGTTATTTCTGGTTGAATTTCTGGAATAGAAAGTCCGAAATCAATACCTGCGAAGTACTCAGTCTGTAATTCGTCGATGCTAACTCGTCCGAAAGGCACAACGGTGTGTTTTGTAGGTCGCTATGGCTGTCGGAGCTCCAGTCGTTGCTGTGAATACCGGAAGTGTCCTCCAGAGAGGAGCTCCGTGTCTCTATTTTCTTACAGTCCTCCCAAGTGACGTTTAGCCCCTCGTAGCTGGACCTCTTGCAAGCCGAGTCCGGTGTTTGCAAGTCGGTTGACTTCTTGTGATCCGACCCATTTAAAGAATAATCCGTTTTCGTGTCGTAGTCGTTGTACCTCGTCGCGATTTCGTCACTAGAAGCTCGTCTGCAATTTTTCCAATGTTGCGAAACTATGGCTGGCACCGCGATTTCTATAGGAGTCGGATCCAGAAGATCTCTCAGTTGCGTAGTACCTAATCAAAACATAGAAATTTTATGGTCAGCTACGTGTTCGAAAGTGTATTAGATAACTAAAAATGTGTTTCTATTGAAATGTTGAGTAAAGTTAAAATACTTTTAAAGGGTAAATTTGCTTGAGAATATTTGATAATATCATTCGAGCTATTTTAATATTTATTACTTATTGGTGGGATAAATTATTGAACACGTTAAACATACTTTCTTCATAAACACTGATTTCAAATACAATGATTATTATGATTATTTATTTAAGAGATATCATGCGATTTATTTAACGTTTTGTATGGAATAAATACAGATGAAGCAGCTATTTTAGTTTAAAATTAACTTTAGTTTAAAATCGATTTATTAATTTTGCTTTTAAAATTTATTCTTAAAATTATTTTGCATTAATTAAACATTCTTTATTTCAAAATGATGGTTATTTAAAAATTAAGAATTTATACATCCATAGATTTAGTTCATAATTTTTATTATTTTATTTATTTATAATTTTGTTTCTTTTATTTATTGCATTGAATTAAATTTGTTACGTTTTTGTTTGAATTTGTACAAGATAAAAGAAAAGTGTCATGTTTTACTATTAAAAATAAGCTATGAATAATTTATTGAATGTTATGTCCAAACACTGGGATAGCTAAATTTAATCACTAGGACAAGCCGTAAATTCCGTCCAATCACTCGGCCAAATGAACGCTTTTAGATATTCATAAATGTGAATACTTTTTTTCATGTGAACGCTTTCTTCTAACGACTTGTCTGGAAGAAGAAGTTCTGCTCTATCGATTGAATGTACTTTTTTGCCAATCCATATTATTTTAATGTATAAAAAGTCCTCGTAACCGCAATCTTCGCCTTAAACGTCCAACCACTGGGACATCTATCTTAGCGGAGATAGGTTTTAAGGGTGCAGGTGTTGAAACGAAAGTACCGTCTAATGAACGCGAGTAGCGAGCCGATTTCACATATTGGTAGACCGCGAAACTTTACTGGGTCAGACACAATGGCCGGGTTATATGTACATTCAAGTTGGCTGACGACGGGGGAGCCTTGCTCGAACAAGTTTACGGATCCGCCGTGCACTGTTGCACGCCCCGGCGAGGTTTCTCCATATAAACGGGAAAAATACTCACCAACTTGCTTAGAGTCGATAAGATAATTCAATCGCCGCTGGCAACGGACCACCGTCTTCCGTCGATTTTCATTTTCTGGCACGAGTCTCGGCCGAGAGAAGGCTAAGTAACGGGGCGATGGCGTGAGTATTCTGTATTCCTGAGACCTGACCAGCCTTTCGGGCGTGTAGGATATACCGTGAGACCTCCGTGATTTCGACTCCGACCCGTCAAAGTAGTCTTCGGCTTCTTCCGCCGGAAACGGCGTGACGTTCTGGAATTTTATAGACGTTGTGTGTTTCATAATGTTCCGTTGAAAATTGAATACGATTATGTGATTAGGGGGGCATTCTAATGTGTATAGACGTCCATTATAAATGTGACACTTGGGTTTTTCTACAAAGAAATTACAGTGAAGGCTCTGTAAGAGTTTGAAATTCGGGACCGTTTTAAAATTTTTACGGTGCACTGCGAATCGTTTCGACACCTCAGAAATGTATTTTTTGCTCGAAGTCCGAGCCTCGACAACAGAAGAGGGGGGGGGGGGATAAGTTATACGCTTGACAGGTTCTACGAACTTCGTATCCAAACTCTCATGGAGTCTTTACTGTATAACACTTTTTGCAGTCAAGTTTTCTCGATATGTTTATCGATACGAAACTATTAGGTAATTGCACATGAAGTGGCCGATTTTACTGATAGGTATATTTGACGTTAATTTTACAAATTCAAAATAATAATATAGAAACTTTCTTTAATGAAAAATTACACAGTGGACTCTATTCGTTTCGAGGTACTATCTGACGTAACAATAAAATCAATTACACCACTGGCCACAAGTGTGGTACCAGGTCTGATAATTGAAGGAAGAGAAAAATATTATTCTAGAACAAATTGCTGAAAGTAATGCGTTAAAACTGTACATGTAGTGATTTCGTAACATTTATTATATCGTTACAAAATAATGAGTTACTGTTCCATCAATCATGAACTCTGGTATCATACTTTTGGCCGGTAGTATATGTAAAATACTAAAATTAATTAAGGTAAAGAATGAATCCGATTTTAAATCAAACATTTTTCTCCGCGTGCTTTGAAAGATGGGATTTAAGACATTTCATTTTATTTTATGCGGCTTAAAAGCCTATTTATAATATTATTTTAAGGAAAGAAGTGAAAAGTACAACCTACCGAATCCGTCCCGTTCGCATCCTTCTCGATAAGGTCCACGTCAAGATCTCCGTGAATTAGTGACGTGAGCTCTATCTTCTCGCAGTGGTCGTCGTTTAGCTCAAGTCGGAATTCCTGGGCGAGGGAGTAACTTTCGTCGTCGCCGGAGTCTATGCAAGAGAGCATCGACTCTGATGAATCTAGGGACAGGCAGTCCTTGCTACGGCTGGATCTCGGCGACTTCGGATCGTCTTCATTGCTCAGCCACCATCCGCAGTCGTCCTCGTTTAACGTTTCCTTCAACTTCTCGTCCCGATTGCCCCTCCCTTTCAGGCAAAACATTGTTAAACTTGCTGCAGTGGCAATTCCTTCGCGGCAATTTTCACGGTTCCCTCTGGATGAACGTGTACAGAACGAAATCTGCAACAAAAGGGGATATTACACTGTGTTAACGTCGAATACGGTTTAATTTATACGCTTCGAAATTACGTCATTTGTATTCGAATTCATTGATGCTCTACAGTTTGTATTTTAACTTGTTAGCCGAGGAAGACGAGTTAGCACATTGGTTGAAAGTTGAAGGTATGCTATTAAATGTGTATGTGTACAGGGTATCTCGGCTAATTTGATCACCTCGAATAATGACTTAGCGGTACACTTTCTAAAAATTTTGAGACATGGAATATCAAGGTACGTGCTTTATTTTGTGGATGGAGGCATTTTAGAGATTTCAACGTCACCTTGATTTTTTTTTAACGGAATGACCTACTTTTTGTACCATAGATCGATAGAGTGTAAAAGTCTGAGTAAAAATCTGTTGACCTTTATACGTCCTAAACCTTAATAGTTCACGAGATATTCCCAATTATAAGCCCAAAAATTATATTTCCCCATTATAAGCCCAAGTCACTAATGACCTACATAAACGTCGATGCGATTCTAAGTGTGTAAAAAAAAAATAATGTCTCATATGATAACGCAGGAAGTGTAGAAGATGTGAATTGCAGTCTTCTGCTATCAATACTTTAATAACAAAAGACACAGATTAACCTCTCCCGTCAACAATGTGTTAACTTGTCTTGACCTTCACCTTTCAGTGATACTTTATTATTGTATTTATTTGATTAATCTTTTCTCTTATCTTAAAACTTTTTATCTTATTCGTGGAGAACTGGATTTTTGATAAAGAAATAAGAAAATGTTATTACAAATAAGAGGAACTATTTGGAATAATAGATTCCGTTGCAATTATTCAATATTAATAATGATTTTCGACCGAAAACCAACCATTACTTCTGCGTATACCTAATATTTAATAGTGTTTTAATATTTCTATTAGTATAAAGTACATTGTATCGATGTTTAGTGTAACAAAGTTTTCTTCAAATTGAGTTTACTTATTTCTAACCCTTTGAGTGCGGTGTAATCAAAACTGGACTATTATTAGGGAAAAATATTAAATATAAACTATTTAACTATTATCACAATTATCTGATTTCTATTCAGATAAATATTTCGCGATAACAATATTGCACTGGACGTACATACCTATGCGTGCATAGTCCATGTCAATGTGATTAGTACATGCACCCATAATACCTACTCAGAAAGTTAATTATGTCTACACAGGTGTTTATGCTCAGAAGATGACCTAATTAACAGTTCAAAATAGTATTACTTTCAACTGTACTGTTAAAGGTTGTATTTTAATGAGTTGTACTAGTTTTACTTCTAGTAATAAATCTTGGTCATTCTTCTGTTACGTATTAAATATGATAGTTTAAAAATTTTTTGAGTTCATTTCAGAAGTTTACATTTATGAGAATTTTTTTAGTTCGAAAGTGTTCTCATTGTATTCTATTAATGATTTTTTTATTCAAAATGTAATTAATATCAGATTTCAAATGTTGTAAGGAAAATACGTTTTATTTTTAATAGTAAGGTCTGGCTTGACATAATTTAATTATGCATCTTTTAATAGACATATTTTTATAGAATTGTTTAAATATTATTATTCAAATTATATAATTATTGTTTCAAATGGAGTAAATAGTTCTTAATTTTTATTAAAAATGTTACTACTAGACTGTAGTGAAAGTTCAAGAAAAATTTAAAGTACAACGGACCTTTTCTTTTACTTCGAAGCTAACGAAACTCTTAATAGAAAAAATTTGTAATTGTTGAAACCCCATTTTGTGAAGTAACCTGTAAAAACGTGAATCTACATAAATATTCGTCATTCATTTATTATTCATGAATAACGTAAACTATTCAAATGTATTCTTTTTGTTAGAACGTTATACCTTTTCCGTCTCCAAAATATCATGAAATGTTTTCTGCGCACAATTGCAATTAATTGCGTAATAATCTCATATGTTTACTTCAAACCAATGTCTTCTCAACCCAACACTCAACACTGAACGTTAGAGATAACAACAGGTTTCTAAAACAACTCCAATAATTTCACCAGTATTCAACACCGTTTACACTTCACCAAAACAAAAAAAAAGGAACTATATCAGTCCTACTTTAAAAAATCTACACTATCCCAGACGTAGGGTAAACTATTTGAACTACTTTACTATTTTATAACTATTAAAGACGAATTTTAAATAATAATAATATTCGTAAATATTTGGCACATAAAAATTAGATTTTTTAATATCTATACCTTTTCATAACGTATAGATTTCACTTTGAAAAATTGAAAAATATAATCAATTACATTAAAAATAAAAAAAAGACAGATTTCATTAGTGCATAAATAATATTAAGTAAATGAATATTTCTAATCAGTAGCGCAAAAAATTGAATACGAAACAAGGATCTCAAAAAAATAAATATGTAATCATTTAATTATTTTAATAACTTAATATACTAATTTTTATATAAAATATTTATTCATTTAGTGGTGTTCATTCACTGGACAGATCAGCCTATCGTACAAAACTCCTGCATTGTTTCCCGCGCAGAAACCAAATCATCTCACTTAAGGTGGTTCGTGCAAAATTCGAAAGACTAGATAATTAAATAAAATTCATAATTGTTTATTAGAACGAAGTACAAACACAAAAAAAATTTGAGTTTTCAACTTGAGTTTTCTTATCGGAAGTATATTCTTTTCTATTCACAAAAATTAGAAGTGCTAACTAAAATCTAGGTACTGAAAATATAAATTCTGAGCTTTCTGATAATAAACTAAATCTTGTACCATGCCGAACATTCCAGGAAGATATTTGATAATAAAGTCCAGGATATGTAGGTTATTGGATGGGTATTCAGACTATGTGCAGGACTTGGCGATGTTGTTGAAGTAGTGTCATACCCGCGAAATACAAATATGTACATTTAAAAAATATTTTACTTATTTTCTGTTTTAGTGAATTCTAAGTTTCTAAATTATAATGCACGAGAATATAATTAACTTTACATATAAGAATATTGAATATTGACTACGCGGGACAACTGAGACGCACCACGTATATAAATAGATATGTATGCAAAAACAACGTTGCCAAACGTACCAGAAACGAGCACCGTGGATTTATTTAAAATATAATGATGAATGATCAATGGAAATGTCGTTGAATTTCATAGATGTAATTTTTATACATTATTAAAATGTATTAGCGGGTGTTTAATACTAATTATTAATATGATGCTTTATTGGCCATAGAGTCCGGTACGAACCACCTTAATTTCCTGAGATGCAATCACGGAAACACGTTCCTTACTCCCGTTTCCCATTTGAAATCACTCTCCCAATGGATTTCACAGCGCGAAACAACTCTCTCCCCCCTCCTCGATTTCCCTGTTTACCATTTTCAAGCATTATTTCACCAAGCCACCGATGATAAAACCGTTCACTTCGGTTTCGCGATAAAAACTAATAATGCCACCGCGTCGAACAAAAGCGTCGTTCGGTATCTTCGATCACCGTTGTACGAGGGAAATTCCAAAGGTAAGCCATTATACGTACACACTTGTGCGGCTTCTGTGTCGCGTCGTTGTCGTCGTCGTCGTCGAGGAAGACGTGACGGGGACTTAATATCCGAGAGCCACTAAAACCACAACGATAATCGTCGGACGATCTCCGATTGCGGATCACCGCTCGTAGCTTCCGGGCGGGAACGTCTTTTCCGGCCGGGTCAAAGGCACTTTTCCACGGTAATGATCGACGGGGTCATCTCATCGTAAATCACGATTTCTCGTCGGTTTTCATATCGGTTCGACAGTTCGCGTTGCTCGATGCGCCGTCACCGCTGCACTTCGACTGTCTCCACGAAACACCCATTTCCTTGACCACTGGTCGCCATGGGGACACTAACTTAATAAAACCGGCGTCTCTCGTTTCGCATCGGCCGTTAACGCGCTCGATTGTGTCGTTTCGCGACACGGTGCGGCGGTGGCCTTGTCGATTAACGCGTAGTCGGTCGTAATACCCTAGTTAATTTCGTTTTATGGCGTGAACTGATTAAATTTATTCGAAAATTGACGCTGGTACTTTACCAGTCGAAATTACCGGTTCGGAACATTTTGATATTTAACTTTCGTAAAATTTATAACGGGAGAGTTCTCTGTGATCGTGCGTAAATATACATTTTCGAGAAAGCCAGTATAGAACAGAATATATTTCTACTATTGAAACTCTCTTTACTGTAGATATAAGAACAAACTGCGTTAGACACTGTTAGAATTTACTGTTCTTTGTATTTTAGTGGTACTTTACTTATGCTCTAAATGCATAAAATCGACAGACTAATTACCATTTCCCAAAAAATTTTGATAACAAAAAATTCTTCTCACAATCAATTGTTCGCATACATTTTGAATAGCATTCTTTCAATTTCTTCATTCAATCCTTACCGTTACTTTCCTTATATACATTTTTATTCGAAGACACAACACAAATCGATAAAAAATAAACTAACTATCGTAACACTACTATTTCCGCATTTCGTTTCAACTTTAAATAAATAGAACGACTTCGTCACACGTACACATCGTAAATATACGTCCACTAATAATTATACAATACAAAATAAATCGTGTAAACACTGTTTATAGAATCGTTGATATTCAAATTTCCATAATTTTACTGTTACATTTCACAGCCAATTTTGTCAAATTTCACTTACATTCAAGGTTCTTCTTATGCATTCGAAAAACAATCCACCTCAACGCGATTTATTATTGTACACAGTTAACATAATATTCCAATACAATTCCACACTTTTCGGAGAACGAACCAGTCGGACTCTACTTTTCGGAGAATCTCGTTCCTTTCAGCGTTCAAACGCTCACTGAACTGTATAAACGACGTTTTTCGTTGAGCCAGAACGCGGGTCATTCCGTCATTCCGTGATGACCGCCGCTGTTTGTTTTCGATACAGCCTAAATAAATATTGTGATACGTGGGTAGCAAATTCTTACAGATAGTGTGACGTGCTCGCGTGAAAGCATTTCTCTACGATAACTCGATGACCTTTTCGTCATTGTTTTCTCTCCGCCAATGAGTCAAAACGAGAGGTTGCAGCGGTCAGTGCCGATTAGGTGATGAGCAAAAGCTGTTATCTGTCAGTTTGTTTTGATAATACGTGAAACGCGTGTACTTAGTAGAGTTAGCGATTTCAGATCGATTAATCGGAAGATCGACCTTTGGTCCCTTAATTTTCGATTTTTAAATCGATTTTTGAGAACAGATCGATCTGCGGAATCCTTTTCCCCCGGAATCTCCCGGAATAATTTTGACACTACATTTTATAGTCCCCTGAACAGAATAGTATTAATTTTCAACAATTCAAAATAATTTCACTCATTATATCTACACTTTTTTTACATTATATTGGTGGAAAAGTTAATGATAATTGTAGAATTGTAAACAGTGATTAATTTTGTATAGCTTACCAACCTAACAATTATTCATACATATCTCGAGATTAATTTTATTTACTCACACTTCGATAGATAGCTGCTTTCAATTGAATTAATTACTTCACTAGATACGTTTTATAATCATTGACTAATCACTTTTACAATACCACCCAATATGTTTTGAGTAAACAAAAAACATTCAAATAATAAAACATACACACATGTACACATATCAGATATTTTCACCAAAAGTCATTTTACACGAATTTTACATCACTTTGTTTATTTGCTCGGACGTAGATGAAGCTTCTTCACTGTATATGACACGTTTTCAGAAAACTGAAAATTCTATGCAAATAAACATTTGTCATGTCACGATGGCATCAGATTTTCCAACAAATGGTGTAATTTTGAGGAAGGACTCTTTATGACAACTACTGGCGGCCAGAACATTAGCCATACTAGCTCGATTGCGACTACCGCAACAACAACGACGTGTACTTTGACATATGATAGTAAAAAAATCCTTGAACGAGTCGCGAGCATGTTTCCCAAATTGCTTTACAACGACGTGTACTTTGACATATGATAGTAAAAAAATCCTTGAACGAGTCGCGAGCATGTTTCAAAGATTATTTGTCGCTACTAGATTGATCTTTATGTAAATTTACATTTTTACGGAGTAAACACGAGGCTTCACATGTCGAGCGTCGAGCTGATTTTGATGACCTTGTTATGATAGTTGTTTAAAGCGAAAGTGCAAAACAATTTTGGAGGGAAAATGCTAGAAATATCATTATCATTTTAATTTTGAAAACCAAAGTATTACTTTTTAGATTTCATACTGATTCATTATAGTGACCAGATCGGTCACTTACCTACCTTCATTTTTATATCGTATTTAACCCTTGTGCTTTAATCAGGTCAATTTGATCTGAAGCGAATGTTTGGTTCTTAATTATGCTTTTTAAATTTGATAATTAATTTGACACCAATAGCTTACATTTATATTATGATCTAGTGATGGGAAAATATGTTTCTTTAATTCAATTTTAATACAAGCCTAATTGAATTTATTAGTGAGAACAGTGTATGAAGGTTATGATGTCCAGCAGAGATTGTAAAGGTAGATCTCAGCTTGTCTCCAGTAGATTTATATATTTTTGTATCATTTTATATTTTTTAACGTATGCATATAACTTCGAAGTCTGAGTGTGAGCGTAACGACTCATTAAAATAATTGCGTACTTACAACTTCATTGAATTAAAAATAAAGCAACAAGTTTTATTGATTTTAATGAATCTTTCCTTTTATTTTGCTTTACAAAGACGTGTGCATTATAAATGCAGAATATTATTAGAAAACTGTAATAAATACGAAACAAAATTATATTAATACGTAATAATTTAGTTTTATTGAAATTCATCGTATACATAATAGATATCTCATATAGATATCGGTGTTAGTATTTGTTGTTTAGAATACATAAAGTTAAGTATTCAATTGTTTTTAGTACGTTTCTTTTGGAAACATAGTTATATTATTATAGCTAAAAAATCATCATAAGAAGTACACAGTACAATTTTATAAAAACTAGAAATTTTGTACAATTCTATTATCAATATACGTTCACAATGTTTTGCAATTAGAAGTGTAAAAATTTGCCATTTATTTGTAATAAACACGTGTCCATAATTAATCTAATAGATATAAAAGTTCAGTCCTCAACTAGAAAATGTATCATTGTAAAATTTAAAACACAAAAATGTGATGATGGGATTGTTCAGCAAAAGGAGTGTATAGTAATATTGAATGCACCTTTTTGATCATTTAATATTCAGTCCGTGCTATATCACGAACTCAACATCACAATAATGGGAAAGAAAGTATCATTAAAATATGTTTATCAAAGTATCCAAATAAAAAAAAAAGGAAAACCCTTATATAATTAACATTCGCTACATAATAAAATATTAACGTGACACATGTCAAATAATAATTTAATAAGGAAAATAACACCGATGAAATTGTTAGTACCATCACTTCACACTCTGTTCCTTCCAATTCCATCGGACACGAGTCGGTTGATTTAAAATTAAAAAAAAGAGTAACAAATGAATCCGACACCATACGGTCCACAAATTTCTACAAATACATTTCTAGAAAGTAAATCAAATAAATCAACATTTCTACACCAGACACAGGACGAAAATTTTAATGCAGTATGGCTCTGCAATGGACGCCGCGCAGGCAGAGCCATCGCATGGAACTGTGAACGATAGCGCGTCCGAGGTGTAGATTGTCTTTCCAGTTTTTGCTGTTTTCTAATAGTCAGCCTGTAGTCTAGGGGTAAGATCTGCCACCGTCAATCCGGTACATGGATAGAAGCAGGTATTCGAGACTACATGCTGATTTTCAATTTTTTCCCCGGGATTTTTTCGGTCAAAGGTTGACACGTTTCGACCGCAACACGACCCCGTTAAAAGCTCGAATTTAATTCGCCTTTTGGGACGAATATTCATGAGCGTGACGTCGAAAGGCCTTGATCGGGGATAAAAACGAGGTGCGTCAACGATAACGTTATCGATACGGCCAATGCAGCCAGGTGTAACGGGTGTTTTCTAATATATCCGCGAAGATGATCGCTGTTGCAGTGAGTCTATTTCGTGAACAATGTAGAATATCGTGTGACTGGATTTCGAAACATAATATTAACGTATTCACATATCTTTGTCCTTTTGTTATCAGTACATACTGATACTTTTGTTGTAGTTCTAAATGTGGAAAATGCATGGATGTGCCTGGAAAACCAATTGTTATGGTACCCTAATAAAACATGTGAATATTAGGTTGGTGGGAAATAAAAGGCCGACTATTCACATCTATACTACTTGTATGCTACTTAATGATAAACATTTGTAATGATGCTAATTCTATGAAGTTTATATCTTTATATGTCACACTATATAACTAATGGAAAAAGTCTATACATTTTACAATTGCAGTTTCTACACATAACAATTTCTGTTTTAATCGACTGCAGAATTTGGGAATATCCGAACAGTATTGCTTACGAAAATTTTTGATTCGTTTATTTTGGTTTGTCAATTTATTTGCAATATTAAAATGTTTTATTATATTTTGCGAAGCACCCTGTATATGTTGGTAACCTCACTGTAAATCTCTGATTGGCTGACCTTGTTATGGCGATCATAGCGATTATCTCGTAAACGATAACGCGAATTAAATCAACTTGTGATTCATACAGCGTCGCGTAAAACCGCGTAGGTGCATTTCGCGGTTAGAGAAAAAGAAAACAGAGGATACTATTCGCTGGTGTAAACTAATACCTCAGCGTAAAACGTAACGCCTTGCACAAGGAAATAAAGT